CTTAGAAAGCGCTATATTATAAACAGGGTTCTTCACTTATTCAGGAGTTCGTACATTAAAGTGCTCCTCCTGGCTTAGTGTTTGCAAAGCATATCTATGTTCACAGATAGACCCAGCCCCCCATTCTCTATCACAGGCCAGGGTAGCAGTATTCCAAGGGAATCCCTAGCCTGGAGCTGTGAGAGCCAGCATTTCTGGAAGAGGGATTCTCTATAGAAGATTGTTCTGATGCAAGGGTTGATTGTGTGTCTACACTCTTGCATTGCTTGACACTGAGGGAACTCCCAGGAAAGTGATGTTGTGGTGCCCACCTTCCAGGTACTCAGTTAAGTGATAAGACAAACATTTCAGGTGGGTTATGTGCAGAATTAATGAATCAGGTAACTATTAAAGGATTCTAGAATAGGGAGAGGTCATTGGAGAACGAGAAGGCTGATGGAAGAGTTGGGCTTTGAATCCAGCTCTGGGGAATGAATAGACTTTGAATGGACAGGAACGATATGGGCATTCAAGGCAGTGGAAATGCTGTGAATACTGGTTTTCTGCTGAGAGTCTTGGAAAGGGAGAGGTTCCCTCCTGGGGGTTACTTGTGCTTGGGCATAAACAGAAGCAATATGGATGGCTAAATGAAGATTTGCACAAGTCTGCAACAAAAATGGGAACCCAGTCTCATTACAAGGACCTGAAGGCCATTGTTTCCTTACGATTTCTTTTTTTTTTTTGGAGTTGGAGTCTCACTCTGTCACCCAGACTGGAGTGCAGTGGCTGCTCCCAGCCACCGCAACCTCGACCTCCTGGGCTCCGGCGATCCTTCTGCCTCAGCCTTCCAAGTAGCTGGAACTACAGGCATGCGCCACCACGCCTGGCTGATTTTTTGATTTATTGTAGAGAGATGAGGTCTCGCTGCCCAGGCAGGTCTCGAACCCGCAGGTTCAGGCAATCCACTCACCTCAGCCTCCCAAGGCGCGGGATTACAGGCTGAGCCACCGAGCCCGGCTGGAACTAATATTTTAACCATTAGTATTAAGTTTACCAGAAAAGTCACAGACATTTTTTCAAACCAAAAACCACATTTTCCTGAAAGAATCATAAATAGAAATACACCCACTTAAAGACATCAAACCTAGGTAATCAACTTAATATAGGAATGAGATATAGGAACGAGAAAGCGAAACAATTCACTAGAAACTCAAGTTAACACACATTCTTCTCCTTAGTGCAACTTCTTACATAGCCTAACGTCAGGTAAAAGAATCTCAGATTAATGGTCCTGGTTTCCTCAACTTTAGGACAGACTGGTAACACAGCTTTTCTATTAAAATGTTAGAGCAAATCACCTAGTTTTACAAAAAGAACAGGATTAAACAATCACCTTTATCAAGATAAATAAAGTTTTCATTTTCACTGTATACCTCATAGGGGAATCATAACGTGTGGCATTAAAAGAGAATCTGCTAAAAGGACTGCCTGTAAAGAAATCGGTTTGAAATTGTCTCAATGGGATTATCATTTAGAAGGTAATGAGCCCTAATTCTGACCTGGCATTGTCATAGATCCCAGGACAGTTGCCCAGGACAAATGCTGAGAGAAGAGAAACCACACCTTCACTTAGGTATGAAGCCAACATGATATGCCATTCTTTTTTTATTTTGGAGTCTCACTCTGTTGCCCAGACTAGAGTGCAGTGGCTGCTCCCAGCCACCGCAGCCTCGGCCTGCTGGGCTCCGGCGATCCTTCCGCTTCAGCCTTCCAAGTAGCCGGAATTACAGGCATGCGCTATCATGCCTGGCTGATTTTTTGATTTATTGTAGAGATGCGGTCTTGCTGCCCAGGCGGGTCTAGAACCCGCAGGCTGGCTCAGGCAATCCACTCACCTCAGCCTCCCAAAGGATTACAGAAAGAGCCACCGAGCCCGGCAATATGTCATTCTTATATACTACAAGAAGATGAAACTAAGGATCCCCAGAATGTCCTCAAAGCAGCTCAGACTCAGGGTAACACCCAAACAAAGATAAAGTGAAACTCTTGGTGAGTACTACTCACTGATCCTCTGTTCCAAAAAATTTCACAAAGAAGCATTTCTTTCCACGCGGTTTCTTCAAGTCCTTCGGTGGATTAACAATCTGGAGGACAAAAGGGGGGAAAAAAAGGTTTGATGGCAACACAGTAGCCTGCTAGAAATTAATTTTCCATAGTTCTAAGTTGGTAAGAATAAGACAAAAGGATTATGTATAAAAAAGAACCCAAGGCCCAGTGCTTGTGCAAAACTGGCAGTTTTCAATGGAGATGTATAGAGATGTGCAGAGATTCTAGAAGTTCCCTATGTCCAACAACTAGCAGTATTTAGGAGACACAATATCCCTTTTACTGTAAGGGCCCTATTTTACAAGCAGTTAAAACCAAGATCAACAGTATTTCCTCCCCCAATGAGACCCTGTCATCACTGAAATGTAGAGGACACTCTTTGAAATGCTTCTTGTCAGGAAAAGTAGACACAGCAAACAGTGAAAATGAAGGACAACTGAGGCACAGAAAACACCATATTGCAATAAGACAGTCTAAAGACACTTCCTGGGCTCCTAGCAAGAATATAAAAACAGAACATTTGGAAAGCACTGATGGATCACCTCATGCAAAATCTGGAATGCCAACTTCTGCAAAGATGCACTGGAGCAGCACATATGGTAACATGGGAAGAAGATTTAAACTTAGTTGGGACAAAAATACTTTGGTTTTTCACTAACCTACATTTAGATTTCTCTCTTCCTGGAGAATTTATTTTCTTCTCCTTTTGTTAGAGTTAAGATTAAAGCTAAATTCAAATTATAATTGATTTCCGGGGTTTTAAAAAATACAAACTTCACAAACCTTCTCTGACTCAAGAAACAAGTGTTTACAGCAGACGAAATGATTTGGTTTAGACTGTGTTAGGTTTTCTAAAATAACTGATACTAGCGAAAAAAAATTCAAAGTGTTATGTGAATGGGCCCAGTTGAACACAATGCAAGAAAACTGAGGAGAAAGCATCTCACATCCCCCACCTCCTCAGACTCAACTCTGGACATCTTCCTTTGGTAGCAAGACACTCACCTTTCCCGGCCAGGGAGGATACCTGCCGAGTTTCCCCCTAGAGAAAACACAGAGAGTCAGCACTCAGCCTGGAAAAGCCAGTCCATCTCCTTCACCCACCCAATATGAAACTTATTTTCCTAAATCTGCGGGCACCACAAGAGTCAGAACAAAAGCTGGCAAATGGGAGTTCTTAATCTGGTTTCCACAGCTGGGCCCCAAACCCTTAGAAATGGAGTGCAAGACTGTATACGTATGTGCATAACGTATGTGCATTCTTCTGTTGACAAGAAACACAAAACAACAAAATGGCCAAGAGTCACTTGTCTAGCGCTTCCCAAGGAGCTTCCTCTGTAAACACAGACTTCCCTTAAGTCTGGTTTAATTCAACAGGGGACCTGTCCGGCTTTGACAAAGTGCTAATGGAAGGCTTCCTCTGGGTGGAGAAGCAAGCTACTCAGGTCGAGGGAGGCGGCGACAGTCAGTCTTGGTTCGGGCAGTTGTTTGGGACACAGAAGCCAACCACGAGAGGCACCCGAGCGGCACTGGTCACTGCCGGGCCATTGCTTGTAACGGAGAAGTACCCCCTCCGTTTCTTCACAGGACAGCGCCAGCAGTCCAGTTTCGACACCCCCAGTCGAGCCGCCCGCGCAGGTCGGTTCCATCCCAACGCAGGTTTGGACGCGCTAGCCCCGGCGAGAAGAACTCGCGGGTTCCCGGCGCTCCTGCTTCCCGGGAAGCCCCGGCGAGACCCCGGGAACGCGGGTCCGCGGAAGCCTGGCGGCACCAGGGGCTCTCTTCACGGGCGCCGCGGGCGTCTGGACCCCAAGTGCAGCCCTATCCCGGGCGGCCCGAGGGCTTAGAGCCCGTGCCCGCTGTAGCCACCCTCGGTCTCGGTCCCCCGGGGCTGCACTCCCCCTTCCGCCCGGCGTCGCTCGCAAGCGCCGGCGCCTCCTTTTCCCCTCTCTCCGCGGCCTGGAGCGTATAGAAAAGCTGCTCCGGGGCTGGCCCGCACCCAGGCGGGCAGCTCCCCGGCGCATCTCGGTTGGCCCGGCCGCCCGGACTCACCACACCAAGTCGCCGAGCCGCAGACTCACAGCCGCCATCTTACCACCCAACCAGCGCCGACGCACGGGCCGCCGGGAACCTCAGATCGCCCCGGCGCCGCCCATTGGAGTGGACCCGAACACGTGACGGGGGGCGGCTGTCACCGGCCACGCCGCTGTTCCGACGTCACCGCGCCCGCCGGAGCTCATTGGCTAGCCGAGCGGCACGTGACGCGGGCGCCGCGGTCTCAGCGCGCCGGAGCGCTCAGACTCCCGGCTCCTTCCCCTCCCTCCGGCTCGTGACAACGAAGCGCTCGCGGTCTGAGGCGGCGGCCAGGACGGCGACGGTGCGGGCGGCCGAGCGCGAGAGGGAGCCGGCCTTGCGGCCCGCCCCGCCCCCGGGCCTCGGACTCAGCTCCCCTCCCCCTCGGCGCTTCCGTTTCGGCCGTTAGTCCGGCGCGGGCCCCGGGGCCATCACCGAGCCCGA